TTAATCGATTTTTAATTTTCCCATTTCTCGATTTCTCGACTTCTCGATGTTTCGATTTTTCAATTTATAAAATTTTCAAATTTTCCGTTTTGGGATTTTTCAATTTTTCAATTATTCTTTTCAAGTTTTCTCCCATTTTTAATTTTTCTGTTTTTCGAGTTTTCAGTTTTTCGATTTCTCGATTCATCCTTTTTTAATTTTAAATTTTTCAATTTTTTACTATTCTATTTTTCAATTTTGGTCGATTTCGAGCTCTCCATTATCCGATTTTTTGATGTTCGAATTTTTTTAATTATCTTTTTTTAAATTTTTAGATTTTTCGGCTTTTCTATTTTTCAGTTTTTCAATTTTCCTATTTTCAATTTTCCGTTTAGTCAATTTTTCGATATTTCAGTATTGGGATTTTTCGATTTTGCAATTCTTTAATTTTTCTCCTATTTTTCAATTTTTTGATTTTCAGTTTAGGGATTTTTCAACATCTCGAATTTTCAATTTTTCGATTTTTTGATTTTTGAATTCTTCGATTTTTGAATTTTGGATTTGTAACTTTTTCGATTTTTTGATGTCTCAGTTCCCCTATTTTTTAATTTTTCGATATTTCAATTCTTCAATTTTTATAATTTTTAGATTTTTCGATTATTCTGTTCTTCGATGTTTCTATTTTTCAATTTTTCGAATTTTTAAGTTTTTGGGTTTTTCAATTTTTCAGTTTTAAAATTTCTCAATTTTTCAATATTTCAATGTTTAGATTTTTTATTGCACAATTTTTGGATTTTTCGAGTTTTTAATTTTTCGATTTTTCAATTCTAGCCGATTCCGATTTCTTAATTTTTCAATTTCTCGACTTTCCATCACTCGATTTCTCAATCTTTTGATGTATCTATTTTTTTATTTCTCTTTTTTCTTCAGTATCTGAATTCTTCAAATTTTCGATTTCTAGAATTCTTCAGTTTTTTGAGTCAGTTTTTTGATTCCTCAATTTCTGAATTAATCGATTTTTTGATTTTGCTATTTCTCGATTTCTCGACTTTTCAATGTTCAGATTTTTCAGTTTTTCAATTCTTCCATCATTGGATTTTTCAATTTTTCGACTTTGTAAATTTTCAGTTTTTCTATTTTGGGTTTTCAATTTTTCGATTCTTCAAGTTCTCTATTAACCGATTTTTTGATTTTGCTATTTCTCGATTTCTCGACTTTTCAATATTTCGAGTTAAAACGTAAAGATTGAAGAATTGAAAAACCGGAAAATCGAAAAGTCGAAATATCGAAACTGAAAAAACCTTGAGAAATCGAAAAATTGAAAGCTCAAAAAATTGAAAAATTAAAACATCCAGAAATCGAAAGATGAAAAGATCGAGAAATCGAGAAATTGAAGAAAATGTGGAAAATAACAAAACCAAAAAAAATCGTTAAACGGAAAAATTGAAAAATTGGAAAATTGAATCATCAAATAATCGAAACGTCGAAATCTCGATGAACCGAGAAATCAAAAAATTGTAAAACTGAAGAACGAAGAATTTAAAAACCAAAAACATTGAAAAACCGAAAAGTCAAACTGAAAATTGAAATACCGAAAAATATAAAACCGAGAAATCGCAAAAACCAACACACCTGAAAATCAACACATTAAAAAATTGAAAAACCTAAAATTTAAAAATTCGAAAAATTGAAAAATAGAAAAATCGAAAAATAAAAATATTGCAAACGGAAAAATAGAAAAATCGAGAAATCGAAAAATCGAAAAACCGTTTAATCGAGAGATTGAAAATTCGAAAAACCGAAAATTTAGAAATGCCAAACATTAGAAAAGTAAAAAATCGAAATATTGAAGAATCTAAAATTTAAGAATCGAAAAATTGGTTTAGGATGATTTGAGGGATCCCTTGTGTCTGGTTTTTGAGTAGTTTGAAAGAAAATTCCAAAATTGAAACGTGGAAAAATTGAAAAATGGAAAAACTGAAAAACTGGGAAATCTAAAAGTCGATAAATCAAAACTTCAATAATGATGTTTTCAGTTCTTCAGTTTTTGACGTTTCTAAATTTTTGTCTTAATTTCTCGATTAATCGATTTTTAATTTTTCCATTTCTCGATTTCTCGAATTCTCAATGTTTCGATTTTTCAGTTTATAAAATTTTCAAATTTTCCCTTTTGGGATTTTTCGATTTTTCAGTTCTTCTTTTCAAGTTTTCTCCCGTTTTTAATTTTTCTATTTTTCGAGTTTTCAGTTTTTCGATTTTTCGATTTATCCTTTTTTTATTTTAAATTTTTCAATTTTTTACTATTGTATTTTTCAATTTTGGTCGATTTCGAGCTCTCCATTCTCCGATTTTTTTTTTTTCAATTTTTAGATTTTCGGCTTTTCTATTTTACACTTTTTCAATTTCCCTATTTTCAATTTTCCGTTTACTAAATTTTTCGATATTTCAGTAAAGGGATTTTTCGATTTTTTAATTCTTTAATTTTTCTCCTATTTTTCAATTTTTCGATTTTCAGTTTAGGGATTTTTCAATATCTCGAATCTACAATTTTTCGATTTTTTGATTTTTGAATTCTTCGATTTTTGAATTTTGGATTTGTAACTTTTTCGATTTTTTGATGTCTCAGTTCCCCTATTTTTTAATTTTTCGATATTTCAATTCTTCAATTTTTATAATTTTTAGATTTTTCGATTATTCTGTTCTTCGATGTTTCTATTTTTCAATTTTTCGAATTTTTAAGTTTTTGGGTTTTTCAATTTTTCAGTTTTAAAATTTCTCAATTTTTCAATATTTCAATGTTTAGATTTTTTATTGCACAATTTTTGGATTTTTCGAGTTTTTAATTTTTCGATTTTTCAATTCTAGCCGATTCCGATTTCTTAATTTTTCAATTTCTCGACTTTCCATCACTCGATTTCTCAATCTTTTGATGTATCTATTTTTTTATTTCTCTTTTTTCTTCAGTATCTGAATTCTTCAAATTTTCGATTTCTAGAATTTTTCAGTTTTTTGACTCAATTTTTTGATTCCTCAATTTCTGAGTTAATCAATTCTGAGCAATTGGAAAATTAAAGAACCGAATTATACAAAAATCCTAAAACTTAAATACAGAAAAATCGAAAAATTAAAAATTAGAAGAAAAATTGAAGAATCGAAAAATTGAAAAATCCCAAAACTGAAAAATCGGGAAATTCGAAAATCAATAACTTGAAAAATCTAAAAATTGAAGAATTCAAGAACTGAACAAATCGAAAAAAGGAAAAATCAAGAAACAGAAAAATCGAGAAATCGACAAATTAAAACATCCAACAATTGAAAAATTAAAACATCAAGATATCGAAAGATGAAAAGATCGAAAAATCGAGTCATTGAAGAAACGGTGGAAAATTACAAAATAAAAAAATTGAAAAACGGAAAATTGAAAAATTGGGAATTTGAACAATCAAATAATCGAAACGTCGAAATCTCGATAAACTGAGAGACCGAAAAATTGGAAAAATGAAAAACAAAGAACTTGAAAACAAAAAAAATTGAAAAATCGAAAAGTCAAATATTTTAAAAACGGAAAATTGAAATACCTAAAAATATAAAACCGAGAAATCAAGAATGGACGCATCTGAAAAGCAACACATTAAAAAATTGAAAAACCTAAAAATTAAAAATTCTAAAAATTGAAAAATAGAAAAATAGAGGCTGAAAAATCGACAAATCGAAAAATAAAAATATCAAAAAACGGAAGGATCGAAAAATTTATACACTTAAAATTGAAAAATAAAAAATTTTAAAAATGTAATAAAAACTGAAAAATCGAAAAATTCAGAAATCAAAAAATTGAAAAGTCGAGAAATCGGAAAATTAAAGAACCAAATTATTCAAAAATCCTAAAACTTAAATATAATAAAATCGAAAAATTAAAAAATCGAAGAAAAATTGAAGAATCGATTAATTGAAAAATCCCAAAACTGAAACCTCAAAATATTGAAAAATCGAAAAACTATAAAATCGGGAAATTGAAAAGTCAATAACTTAAAAAATCTAAAAAGTGGAGAATTGAAAACTGAACAGATAGAAAGTGGAGAAATCGAAAAAAGGAAAAATCAAGAAACAGAAAAATCGAAAAGTCAAAAAGTCGAAAAATCGATTAATCTAGAAATTGAAAATTCTAATAATAATCGAAAATTTGGAAATGCCAAAAATTAGAAAATTGCAAATCGAAATATTGAAGAATCGAAAATTGAAGAATCGAAAAATTTATTTGAGAATTCTAAAACTGAAAAACAAAGAATTTAAAAACCAAAAAAATTGAGAAATCGAAGTCAAAAATTTTAAAAACGGAAAATTGAAATACCTATGAACAAGGCATTAAAAAATTGGAAAACCTAAAATTTAAAAATACAAAACATTGAAAAATAGAAACTGAAAAATCTCGAGGACCGCTTGGGCTTTTTCTTGAAGTATGTATTTTGAAAGAATCTCGGGGACCATTTGTATCTAATTTTTGAAGTATCTAGTTTGCGAGAGTCTTAGCAACCACATTTTGTTTTCTTTTTGGCAGTAGTTTGAAAGAATCGTGGGGTACCTTCTCTTGTTTGTAAAATAATTCGAAAAAATTTCAAAGACCCCTTGGGTTCTTTTCTTGAACTATGTAATTTGAAAGAAACTTGAAGATCTTTTGTGTCCTTTTTTTGAAGTACCTAATTTGAGAAAATCTCAGACACACCTTCTGTTTGGTTTTAAAGTAGTTTGCAAGAATCTCGAAGACCTCTTTTGTTTTGCTTTTGAAGTAGTTTGAAAGAATTTGAAAGATTATATTTGTTTTATTTTTGAAGTAGATTGAAAGAAACTCTAGGACCTCTTGTATTTTGTTTGAATCTTTCATAAACAAATCTATGACATAATAAAACATGTTTGTGTGTTTTGAATGTTATTTATAACCTCACTATCTCGTTAAGAAGAATTCCCCAACATTTTTATCATCTTCGTTTACAAACAAACGATAACCAGTTGACTTAAAACTGCAACAAACAGAACTTAGTGGCAGTACGACTTATCAACAGAGAACATGCGTTTAGTACTATCGTTCGGACTTCTCGTCCTAACAAAATTTTCCCATGGAGACTACAACCAAGAGGTAAGTCAATCTTTTTCACCCCTTTCACGCAAACGTCACTTCTAGTTCGTCGTCGTTTCCACCACACCATCCACTTCAAACCACGTAGTACCCGAAATCGAAAAACTTCAAAACTACATCCGCGAAAACAACAAACGCTTAGAAAAACTAGAATCCCGTTTGGAAAAAATCTACAACACGTTGTCAAAAGGTAGCCTTGCCACACAACCAAAATCTCCTAAAACGTTTCCAAGCGACTGCAAAGACGTTCAAGAACGAGGTCACAAAGCCTCTAATTTTTACTACGTTAAACCTCCTCTAGCTCCTGGTAGCATTTTAGTTTTCTGCGACATGGACACAAAGGATGGTGGTTGGATTTCCATTTTATACAGATTTAACGGCTCCCAGAAATTCGACCTTAAATGGAACGACTATAAGCACGGGTTTGGAAACATAGCAGGCGAATTTTGGCTGGGTTTGGACAACATTCATCACCTGACAGGTAGTACTTGGAAACGCCGGTACTTTTTAGCGTGACTTATTGGTATTTAGGGCACGAAATGAACGAACTACTGGTGGAACTAACCGACTGGGAGTCGAAAAAGGTCTACGCTCACTACGATTCGTTTAGTGTTGGGGGTGAAGACGAAGGGTACCTTTTGAAGCTTGTGGCGGGGTACAGTGGTGACGCGGGAGACTCCTTGAGTTACCATGGTGGTATGAAATTTAGTACTGTGGACAAAGATCAGGATATTTGGAGTCGTGGGAGTTGCGCTGCGGCTAAAGGTGCTGGATGGTGGTACCGCGATTGTAGCGAATCGCTCCTTACTGGTAAATATTTGAAAAAGGATGACCCAGCGGTGAATAGTGCTGTCGGGATTTACTGGTTCACGTTTCACGGGCATGGATACAGCTTTAAAGAAGCGAAAATGATGGTTAGGCCACGGACTAGTACCAATGGGGTACCCTAGGCGTCTAAAAATGTTGTTTTAATTCATGTGTGTAAATAAATGTTGCACCAAGTGATACTTTTGGTTGTTTTTTAATTGACGAATTGAAAAAGGTCAAAAATCTAAAAATCGAGAAATGGGAAAATTAAAAAATTGAAAATTTCGAAACGGCTAAGGTTAAACACTTCAAAAATCGAAAAATTGATGAGAAAAACAATTGACAAACCGTAAAACTGAAACAATTTAGAAATTTAAAAAATGAAAAATCGAAAAGTAGAAAAATTGAGGAATCAAAAATTTGAAAAATCTTGTAGTTAAAACATTGAGAAATTGATAAATTGAAACATTTAGAAGCTGAGGAACCGAAAAATTGAGAAAACGAAAAATTTAAAAGTTAGTAAATTGAAAAATTGAAAAAAAGAGAAATCTAGAAGTCGAGAAACCGGGAAATTGAAAAATTTGGGAATTAAAAAATTGAAAAATCGTGTGGTCAAAGAATTGAGAAATCGAAAAATTGAAAACTCCAAGAGGCGAGAAACCGAAAAATTGAGAAAACAACAAATCTAAAGTTACTAAATTGAAACACTGAAAAATAGAAAAATCGAGAAGTTGAGATATCATTTATGTCCTATGTGGGCTATTTGCCCGTTGGATGACAAATAAACTATTTATTTTTTTATTTATTTATTTATTTATATCCAAAAAATTTTAAATCGAAAAGTCGAAAAATTGGGGAACCAAAAAATTGGAAAATCGGTTGGTCGAAAAATCGAGAAATCGAAAAATCAAAAAATTGAAATGTGGAAAATCTAAAAATCGAAAAATTGACGAATTGAAAAAGGTCAAAAATCTAAAAATCGAGAAATGGGAAAATTAAAAAAATTAAAATTTCGAAACCGCTAAGGTTAGACATTTCAAAAATCGAAAAATTGAAGAGAAAAACAATTGACAAACCGTAAAACTGAAACATCGGAAAATTTAGAAATTTAAAAAATGAAAAATCGAAAAGTAGAAAAATTGAGGAATCAAAAATTTGAAAAATCTTTTAGTTAAAACATTGAGAAATTGATAAATTGAAAAATTTAGAAGCTGAGGAACCGAAAAATTGAGAAAACGAAAAATTTAAAAGTTAGTAAATTGAAAAATTGAAAAAAAGAGAAATCTAGAAGTCGAGAAACCGGGAAATTGAAAAATTTGGGAATTAAAAAATTGAAAAATCGTGTGGTCAAAGAATTGAGAAATCGAAAAATTGAAAACTCCAAGAGGCGAGAAACCGAAAAATTGAGAAAACAAAAAATCTAAAGTTACTAAATTGAAACACTGAAAAATAGAAAAATCGAGAAGTTGAGATATCCATTATGTCCTATGTGGGCGATTTGCCCGTTGGATGATCAATAAACTATTTATTTATTTATTTATTTATTTATTTATTTATTTATTTATTTATTTATATCCAAAAAATTTAAAATCGAAAAGTCGAAAAATTGAGGAACCAAAAAATTGGAAAATCGGTTGGTCGAAAAATCGAGAAATCGAAAAATCAAAAAATTGAAATGTGGAAAATCTAAAAATCGAAAAATTGACGAATTGAAAAAGGTCAAAAATCTAAAAATCGAGAAATGGGAAAATTAAAAAATTGAAAATTTCGAAACGGCTAAGGTTAAACATTTCAAAAATCGAAAAATTTAAGAGAAAAACAATTGACAAACCGTAAAACTGAAACATCGGAAAATTTAGAAATTTAAAAAATGAAAAATCGAAAAGTAGAAAAATTGAGGAATAAAAAATTTGAAAAATCTTGTAGTTAAAACATTGAGAAATTGATAAATTGAAAAATTTAGAAGCTGAGGAACCGAAAAATTGAGAAAACGAAAAATTTAAAGTTAGTAAATTGAAAAATTGAAAAAAAGAGAAATCTAGAAGTCGAGAAACCGGGAAATTGAAAAATTTGGGAATTAAAAATTGAAAAATCGTGTGGTCAAAGAATTGAGAAATCGAAAAATTGAAAACTCCAAGAGGCGAGAAACCGAAAAATTGAGAAAACGACAAATCTAAAGTTACTAAATTGAAACACTGAAAAATAGAAAAATCGAGAAGTTGAGATATCCATTATGTCCTATGTGGGCGATTTGCCCGTTGGATGATCAATAAACTATTTATTTATTTATTTATTTATTTATATCCAAAAAATTTAAAATCGAAAAGTCGAAAAATTGAGGAACCAAAAAATTGGAAAATCGGTTGGTCGAAAAATCGAGAAATCGAAAAATCAAAAAATTGAAATGTGGAAAATCTAAAAATCGAAAAATTGACGAATTGAAAAAGGTCAAAAATCTAAAAATCGAGAAATGGGAAAATTAAAAAATTGAAAATTTCGAAACGGCTAAGGTTAAACATTTCAAAAATCGAAAAATTGATGAGAAAAACAATTGACAAACCGTAAAACTGAAACATAGGAAAATTTAGAAATTTAAAAAATGAAAAATCGAAAAGAAGAAAAATTGAGGAATCAAAAATTTGAAAAATCTTGTAGTTAAAACATTGAGAAATTGATAAATTGAAAAATTTAGAAGCTGAGGAACCGAAAAATTGAGAAAACGAAAAATTTAAAAGTTAGTAAATTGAAAAATTGAAAAAAAGAGAAATCTAGAAGTCGAGAAATCGGGAAATTGAAAAATTTGGGAATTACAAAATTGAAAAATCGTGTGGTCAAAGAATTGAGAAATCGAAAAATTGAAAACTCCAAGAGGCGAGAAACCGAAAAATTGAGAAAACAACAAATCTAAAGTTACTAAATTGAAACACTGAAAAATAGAAAAATCGAGAAGTTGAGATATCCATTATGTCCTACGTGGGCGATTTGCCCGTTGGATGATCAATAAACTATTTATTTATTTATTTATTTATTTATTTATGTCCAAAAAATTTAAAATCGAAAAGTCGAAAAATTGGGGAACCAAAAAATTGGAAAATCGGTTGGTCGAAAAATCGAGAAATCGAAAAATCAAAAAATTGAAATGTGGAAAATCTAAAAATCGAAAAATTGACGAATTGAAAAAGGTCAAAAATCTAAAAATCGAGAAATGGGAAAATTAAAAAATTGAAAATTTCGAAACGGCTAAGGTTAAGCATTTCAAAAATCGAAAAATTGATGAGAAAAACAATTGACAAACCGTAAAACTGAAACATCGGAAAATTTAGAAATTTAAAAAATGAAAAATCGAAAAGTAGAAAAATTTAGGAATCAAAAATTTGAAAAATCTTGTAGTTAAAACACTGAGAAATTGATAAATTGAAAAATTTAGAAGCTGAGGAACCGAAAAATTGAGAAAACGAAAAATTTAAAAGTTAGTAAATTGAAAAATTGAAAAAAAGAGAAATCTAGAAGTCGAGAGACCGGGAAATTGAAAAATTTGGGAATTCAAAAATTGAAAAATCGTGTGGTCAAAGAATTGAGAAATCGAAAAAATGAGAAAACAACAAATCTAAAGTTACTAAATTGAAACACTGAAAAATAGAAAAATCGATAAATTGAGATATCCATTATGTCCTATGTGGGCGATTTGCCCGTTGGATGATCAATAAACTATTTATTTATTTATTTATTTATTTATTTATTTATTTATTTATTTATATCCAAAAAATTTAAAATCGAAAAGTCGAAAAATTGGGGAACCAAAAAATTGGAAAATCGGTTGGTCGAAAAATCGAGAATTCGAAAAATCAAAAAATTGAAATGTGGAAAATCTAAAAATCGAAAAATTGACGAATTGAAAAAGGTCAAAAATGTAAAAATCGAGAAATGGGAAAATTAAAAAATTGAAAATTTCGAAACGGCTAAGGTTAAACATTTCAAAAATCGAAAAATTGAAGAGAAAAACAATTGACAAACCGTAAAATTGAAACATCGGAAAATTTAGAAATTTAAAAAATGAAAAATCGAAAAGTAGAAAAATTTAGGAACCAAAAATTTGAAAAATCTTGTAGCTAAAACATTGAAAAATTGATAAATTGAAAAATTTAGAAGCAGAGGAACCGAAAAATTGAGAAAACGAAAAATTTAAAAGTTAGTAAATTGAAAAATTGAAAAAAAGAGAAATCTAGAAGTCGAGAAACCGGAAAATTGAAAAATTTGGGAATTCAAAAATTGAAAAATCGTGTGGTCAAAGAATTGAGAAATCGAAAAATTGAAAACTCCAAGAGGCGAGAAACCGAAAAATTGAGAAAACAACAAATCTAAAGTTACTAAATTGAAACACTGAAAAATAGAAAAATCGAGAAGTTGAGATATCCATTATGTCCTATGTGGGCGATTTGCCGTTGGATGATCAATAAACTATTTATTTATTTATTTATTTATTTATTTATTTATTTATATCCAAAAAATTTAAAATCGAAAAGCCGAAAAATTGAGGAACCAAAAAATTGGAAAATCGGTTGGTCGAAAAATAGATAAATCGAAAAATCAAAAAATTGAAATGTGGAAAATCTAAAAATCGAAAAATTGACGAATTGAAAAAGGTCAAAAATCTAAAAATCGAGAAATGGGAAAATTAAAAAATTGAAAATTTCGAAACGGCTAAGGTTAAACATTTTAAAAATCGAAAAATTGAAGAGAAAAACAATTGACAAACCGTAAAACTGAAACATCGGAAAATTTAGAAATTTAAAACGAAAAATCGGAAGTCGAAAACTTGAAGGATCGAGAAACTGAAGAAGAATTGCAAAAATGAAAAATTCCAATACTGAAATATCGAAAAGTTGATTCGAAAAATTGAAACATCGTAATATCAGTAATAGATAATTTGAGAAATAAAAAAAAATTTCAAAATCGAAAAACTGAAAAACTAATTAAGAAAAAAAAATCGAAAATTTGAAAAATCGAAAAATGTAATAATCGGAATGTCGAAAAATATTTGAAATCGATAAACTGCGATGTCGCAGTCAGAAATCGTAAATTAAAAAACGTAAAATCGAAAAACGTGTTATTTAAAAAGTCGGATAAAACGGAAAAATCAAAAATTTTTAAATTCTGAATTTAAAAAATAGAAATATCGCAGAATTGAGATATTGAAAAA